CTACTTCAACACTTTCTCTTTCTTGTAAAAATTGTTCAAGACGATCAGAATTTTGATTAAAATTGGATTTATCATTTTCAGCCATTTGGTCTTCCATACTTTCATTTTCATGATTATCTTTTGAGTTTAATTTTTTATCTTTTAAATAAACCCAAATAGAAATTAAATGACTAATGGCCATATCATACTGAATTTCACTTAATGTTACCTTGAAACGGGGATCTAGAAATATTGCTGCCAATAACACTTTATTATTCATGATGAATTGTTCCCTATATTCCATACATTTTACTAATTTATTAGAAAATGGATTCTCCAGTGCACGTGTTTCAATTTTGCACGAAATCCATGTACTATAAAAATCTGACAATGTCAATTGTTCACTTTGGAGTTTTTTTGTACAAAGTTTGGCCGGTAGTAAAGTTTTTGCAAGAATTTCAACTTGCTGCCAATCAAAATTATTCAAACTAATTTTTTTTAATTTGGGGTCATTTGCAACCATAATTTGTATAAACTCTTTTAAATATTGTATCCTCTCTATCATGTCATATGTTGAATGCCAACGAGTCAAACAGTCCAAAATTGGTAATTTAAGTTTTTCCTTTTTTATCAAATATATAAAAGTTTGATTACGCAGTTTTCGAACTAATATGCGAACTTTATTTAACAATTTATCCACACCACCATCTTTTAAGCTGTCTATAACTGCTAGTTGTAGAGTATGCGCTACACAACGAATACCTGTAATAAACAAAATGTTTTATTTATATTTTATTATTTAATAAACATTAATGATTAATAATACTCAACCTAATTGTATTAAACCAGAAAAATTCTAAAGGATTTTTGAATTTAATAGCTTATTAGTAGACATTTGTATTAAAAATGTAATTAATTTTAATTTAATTTATCTTAAATTAAATAATATTGAAAGAAATTATGAATATATTATTACTTATTTGTATTGCTTTTCATAATAAATCATTAAACAAAAAAATTATATTGAAATTACAAATACCTGTAAAAATTGAACCATCTCCTAAATTGTGTAATTGAATATCATTCAAGATTTGTTCTGTGTGTTCATATGTTGAATCAACACATTCAATGTCTTCATTAAGTATATTTTCTATTTGTTCGTCATCAAGTATTGAA